TTTTATTTCCATTCAGAGTTTCCACCGTAGGTTTGTTCTCAACATGTTCCACTTGACTGCTCTCAGCTCTGCCATCAAGATCCCTGTGTCCAATCCCCATGATAGGACACTATTCTTTTGAGCACCATAGTAGAGAAAATGTGGGCAGATCACATTTCACACAGGTTGAATAGTTGTATAAGGCTTTGATGAAAATTTAGAGTAAAAGAAAAGTGTTACACGGGAGGGGAAAATTTTGAAAATGCTCATATTGAACCTAATTTTCCTGTAGTGTAAGAAACGCTTCACAGGACTGCTCAAGGACATGCCATGCTCCTACTCTCAGTCCCTGGTCCTGGGGTCTGGACCTCTGCGAGAGAGTGACAAGATCCGTTGATGTTTGATCTGGGTCACACACTGGCTGCAGGCAGGGGAGTGTCTGAGGGAAGCAGTGGAGAGAGTAGGGAGCCCTGTCAGGAGGCTGTGATCCAGGAGAGAGATGATGGAGGCTCCTGCTGGGTTAGTGGCCTTAGAAGTCCCAGGATAGCATGAGGTTAAGTGGTAATGGTCAGAACAAATTCATGGTGACAGGAACACATAGGGGTGTCTGGGGAACAGAAAGTGGTGCACTGGCTGGAGCCTAGAGGTAGCTATGGGAAGGGGAGGCTGGGAAAGGGGCGGGCGGGCATAGGTATCCTGGAGGGTCCTGAGTGCCAGGGGGGAGGAGTTTGCTTTTTGCTGTGGACATCAAAAGGCTTTTTCCCAAAGGACTGAAGTTTGGCTTCAGGAAGTGAACCTGGTGAGGGGAGCAAAATGGAGGGGAGGCGGCAGGAACGCCCTGTGCAGAGCCCCTGGCTGGCTGCTGGGGAGGGTAGAGGGAGAGTTGGGCCCTATGAAGCTGTGGTTCTCACACTTTATCTCTGATTGCTGAGTGCCTCTCTGTGCCTGAAAAAACACGAGGCTTGGCTCTGCCCACACTCCTGGGAGAAGCCGCTCCAGGTTCTCAGATAGCAAGATAAGCCAGTGCTCTACACCAGGGCTGAGATCCACCCTGATTCTGGCTTCCCAATTTCTTCCTCACCCTGGGAGGGGCTGACAGTTGATCGCTGGGCCTCCCAGACTACGTGCTTCTGCACCTGGTTAACCCTGGGCTGAGCTGGAAATCTGAGCCTCAGTGCAGAAGAGGGGTTGTGGGGCTGACAGAGGGGCACGGGGAGTTCTGTAGGGAGCAGTCACCCTCTTCTGAGGTGGAGTTCCCAAGGCCATTCCAGGGGCTCTGCAAAGGCCAGCTCTGGCCTCAGCTGGGGAGAGAAGATACTGGGGAGAGTGCAGGGACAGACCAGACAGCAAACCTGATAAGGAACTCCTATCCTCCCTTGCCCCACCTGCCCGCCCCATTTTTTCTTCAGTTCAGTTTTTAATTTAGTTCACTGCTCAGTTTAGGCTGAGAAGCACTAGCCACACTGCTTTCCCTCTAGGTAGTTCTAAGCTATTTATTTGACCCAGCCCTGTCCAGTTTACCCGCTCATCCAATGGAGGCCCCAGTGAAGGTGCAGTCCACTCCAGCTCCCAGCAGCCACCGTTACCACACTCCCATCTGGTTACTTCCATCTCCACATTGGTTTTTATTAAGATGATAATCAAATACTATGTCCCTTGGGAGAGGCGTATGTTCTAGTCCAGCTTGGACACTTACAGCTCTGAGATCTTGGGTAAATTGTGTGCTCTTGCTTTAGCTCTATAGAAGCTCGACAGACACTCACAGTATTCCTATTATTGAGAACTCATGTGAGCACTGAGATAAGAGTCTTGGTTCCCCCAGTGAGTTGTTATGTGATCCTGGGCTCCAGCCCTGTTCTTCATGAGACATGCCCTCTGTCTGAACTGCTTTTCACTGGGGATGTTTTTTCCTTAGTTACTAGGAGTTAGCTGTTCGAAGGAACAAAATGAGCATGGAAACCAAATTCTCCTGAAAGGTGTGTATTTGAGGCAGGAAAGGATTCATTAGAATGTCCAGGATCTTGGGCTGTCCAAGGGGGTACTTAAAAGCTCTACTGGAGGATCCCTTGGCCAGGACAGACTCATATAGGGGCCCTTTCCTGCTGGCTACTGTGTCCCAACAAGAGAGCATTATTTTTCTCTTCAACTCCTAACTACCCCAGATTTGGGGCTGGAGCTGAGGGAACAGAGGCCAATTTATTACATACTTGGGCAATGACTGCTGCTTAGAGAGGATACAGAGACCAGAATCCCAAATCTTCAAAGTACCTCAGCTAGGTGTCAGGAGCCTGGGTTCCTGCCCCGGCTCTAACTGGCACCTCAGCTTTCAGGATGCTTTCAGGTACACCTTCGTTGAATGCCATGTCACAATCACCCATAAAGTTGGGGACACGAGGTGAGATGCATTCTAGGGTTCTAGGGCTGGATTCCAAGACTCAGAAAGTACACCCCAGGGAGGAGATGAGTGCTCCTCCTCAGCCTTCTCCCCTTGCAGCCCAGCCCCTCTCCTCTGTGCAGCCAGAGCCCGAAGCAGCACTGTATTACTGGTTTGGGTTCTTGGTCAGAAACAGGAGGCTCCTGGACGTTTCTCTGGGATCTCTGATCTTGACAATATCATTCATTTTTTTTCCCATTTCTCTAAATTTCTGCCTCTTTGCCTAGGGCATGTGAATCATCTGAGTGTCTTGCTGAAATGCAGGTTCTGGTACAGGAGATCTGGGGTAGGACCTGAGATTCTGCATTTCTAGTGCGCTCTCAGGGCTTGCCCCTGCAAGCTGGTCTGTGGCACATCCTTGGAGTTGCAAGGCCTCAGGGCTTCAGTCTCTTAAATAAGATGACAGGGAGGGCATCCTGGCCCTTGCATCCGTGATTCAAGTGACCCAAAACAGAGAAGTTCGAGAATGTAAGAGTAAAAGGAACCCACCACCTGGTTTTGTTGATGGTAAAAAAAGAGGCCTACTCAGTGCAGGAAGGAACTTGTTCAAGATCTCATAACCTTTAAGTGAAAAGGTTGAGATGTAGGCTTCCTGTATAGTAAAGACAAAAACAAAAAGGAAAACTAAAAGACACTCATTGAAGTGTTTGCGTGCGTTCTCTGGGCAAACTATAGGTTCCTTTAATTTCTTTCTAATTTTTTGTTATTGTTGTTGTTTTTTACAATGAAGATGTAACAATTTTGTAATAAAAATTTTTAATAAAAGAAAATTCTCACAAATTCCTTAGTAAATGAGATTATGTTTATGAACCCTGCTGGGTAAACTGTAACTATATACATTAGCTTCATGTTAGGAGTGTGTAGTTCAGCTCAAACTGTCCCAAATTTATTTCAACAAGGTTACTCATGCTCCTCCATACACAAATCACCGAGATGGGGAAGAAGGCCAAAGCCGGTTCCATCCACCGCTAGCAGCTTCCTGCTCCCCTTCCTTCTCTGCTCTCCCGACACTTCTCCCCAAATGCTGGCCGCAAGAATCTTTCCCCTTAAATTGGGGAAAGGGTTCCCTGATTCATTTTCGTAGTAAACGACCTCAGGCCAAGTCTGCTTTTGTTGCTGGTTTCCTAAGCTTAATTGCAAGCAAAGTTAATTTGAAAGAAAATAAATGTTACAGCTCTGGGGCGAATTCTAACGAGCCTTGGGCAATTAGGGAAGAACGCATCTAATTACGCACAGCCTCGGGGCGCCTGCACACGACGCTGGGGGTGCAGGGCCCAGAGAGGGGAAAACGATTTTTCTAGTTTCATAATAGGAAGAAGAAGGAAAAGAAATAAAGATAAACTCATCTCCCGTCCCTGAGCCCCCAGACGGTGGCTGTTCCACGGTTTGGGGATTCTTAGGAGTTGTAATGTTCCAAGACGCTCCAGAGAAATGTTCTCAAGATCCAGAGCCCCGCGGACTGCAGGGTCCGCCCGCGACCGGGGCCGTGGTTGCAGCCGGAGCTGCGCTCCCTCGCCGGCGCAGCGTCCATTCCAGGCAGGTGGGTGGTGCTCGCGCTTCGGGGGCCGCGGTGTCTACAACGCCTCGAGCCCAACCTCGCGCGTCTCCCTGTCTCTCCCGCCTGGCTCGCGCGTCACACAACCAGTTCCCTCCTCCCGGCGTCCCCTCCCCCCCCCCCCCCCGGGGCAGACCCCCCACCTCGGGCATCATCTCACCAGATGTCCTAGGGGACAATGGAGAGGAGGAGGCAGGTGGCGAAGATGCGTGCACTTTCCCACCCCATCGCTCTCGCTCCCCCAGCTACATACCACGACGCTCCAGCAGGCTGCGGGATCTGGCGGCGCTTTACAAATTAAAACCTTTTCTCCCTCCAGCGCCCAGCACTTGATAGTTCACAAAGAGCTTTTCACCTCTCCTGTCTCCTTTACCTTTTAGGAAGACTCTCTGAGGTCCATTCACAAATGTGGACCCTGGAGGAAAAGGGACTTGAGGTTAATGGCCAAAGCACTGGACTTGGCAATTAAAAAACAGAAAAGGGGTCAACTCCCACACTAACTGGGTGTAGAGACCACCCTTCCCCAGCCCAAAACCTTGGCTCCAAGGACAAAAATCTCTGGGTGGAGGGCTCTCAATTTTCCGGCTACTACTAACTAGGCGAGGCATCTTGATTTCTGGGCTAGGAGAGCCAGACTGTCCAACCGCACACAGAGAACCTTCAGATTTCATACCTGCAAGCCTGCGTATGGAGAGGAGAGAGGCCCAACGCCTAGACTTTTGCAAGGTCTCAGGGCTGGATCTGGAACCTGGACCCACTGGCGGCAAGATCAGTGCTCCAGCTGCCTCCTGCCTCAATGGTCATTTACCACCAGTGAAGTCAGGAGAGACTAACATCTACACCAGTAGAGTCCAATACAGTAGCCATCAGCCACATAGTGCTACTGAGCACTTGACATGCGGCTAGTCCAAATTTAGGTGGGCTGTAAGTGTAAATGCACTCCAGATTTGGAAGAGTTAGTATAAAAAAGTAAAATACCTCCAAAATTTATATATTGATTATATGTTCAAATGATAGTTTGGATATGTCAGGTTAAATACAATCTCAACTATTATTTTATTAATATGGCTACTAAAAACTTTTAAATTACATTTGTAGTTTGCAATATGTTCTATTGGACAGTGCGGATTTAGACAAATACCCGTCTGGACAGAAGCACATTCACACGTCTTTGTGAACAAGACAGCGTAATTCCCAAAATTAAGAATAAAAATTAGCAATGGTTTTCAATCTCTTTCTAACAGAACCCCCAACCCTTCCCTGTCAAGTTAACTACACAGAAAGGGGCTGAGTTTCCTTTGCCAGAACTCACTTGATCAAAGATTTTTATTAAAACAGTTCATCTGAACCCTCAGGTTGATCTGAAAGCTGCACACCGAGCCTCTGAACACTGGAAAATTTCACTACAGGATAAAAACTTACAAGATTTCTCAAGAGAAAGGTGGGAAAGAGGTTGGATTTTCTCTGATTTTGGTCAGCTTGATGCTTAAAATAAACGGATACAAAACAAAGTTAAAAATCCAGTTTCTTTCTAAAGCTTACTTCACTGACAACCCCAATTAATTTTTCTCTTTCCTTTTCGTATGGTAGAGGGTGCCAGAGACGGGAAGAGCCCGCTCAACAAACTGAAACCGGTCCTCAAAGAGCTCCCCCCGAGTCCTGTCATCTGTTTGTATTTTAGTTTGCCAGTTTGGTCCAGGGTTGATTAATGAAATGAAAGAGTGGACAGTGGATAAATTTATTTTTACCTGCCTCATTGGAAAACCAAATTATGACCTAGCAGTAACAGCTACCAAATGATCAGCACATCATGCTCAAAAGATTCGAGAAATTATAACATAATTGCTGCCTGGAACCAATCCAGCGACTTTAGGTTAGGTGCTTGCCCTGAGCTCTGTTCCGGTTCTTGGGAATAAGGTTAGGCCCTGGGTGGCCCACCGGATGCTGCCAAATATGCAGGGCTGCAAGGAGGATGATGAGGCCCTTAAGGACCGCGGTTGAATCTTGCAGCCCTCTTGTATAACACTTGGGGAAACGGGGTGTGGGTGATGGAAACTGGGTCGCGATGTGGGGCTGAGGTCCAGACTAAGAGCTGGGTCTGCAGTTCTCAGAGGCAGGGAAAACCAGCCCCAGGTCAAGCGAAGCAGAGAGACTTCTTCCATTTTGTTTTGTTCTTTAAAGAAGGGAAGTTACTTTTTTTTTTTTTTTTTTTTTTTGCAAACTCATCCTCCTCACCTTAAGGACGATGCTACTGGTAACCTAATCGAAGGCACAAGAGGCCGAACCGTGTCAAAAAGGCCCTGCATTCTTGCAACACAGGTTAGAGTGAAGACGTGATTCCCCACACTTCGGATCCCAGACTCCGGTGTAGGCACTAGGCCGCGCCAGTACCGCCAAGGACCCTCCCCAGTAGGATGTCAGAAAGGCATGTCCTTTGGAGCTTCGCCTTATTGAGGCCCCTCTGTCCCCGTCCGCGGGCCACCACTGCCCCTCCCCACCGCCACCCATTCCCAAGGCGAGCCGGGCGTGCCTGTGATGCACCGGTCCGGCCCGCAGGGCTCTCGGTCCTCCTCCAGTTCTCAGGTCTCGGGGATACTCGGTTGGTGGGGACGGCCGAGGCGACTGCCAGCTGTGGACCGCGTGCTGGGCTCACATGGCTGACACGTATCGATCCACCGCGCCAGGATAGGCCGTCGCGTGGCGAGCGTGGTAGGCGCCTCCGCCGCCCCCTCCGAGCTGCGCACCGGGATTGTAGCAGGGCCCCAGCGCTCCGAACTGGCCGGGCGACGTGCGCCCGTAGAAGTCCACCGCGGGCTCCACGCCGCCGCCCCCGCCGCCGCCGCCGCCCCCGCCGCCGCCGCCGCCCGCGGAGGGCGACGCGGGCCCCGCCAGCCGGCCCGCCGCCGCGAAGAGGGCTCCGCCGGCCCCCTGCGGGTACGCGCCGTCCGGGCCCGCGTAGGCGGCCGCGTAGGCGGAGGGGTTGGCGGGTCGCGCCCCCGCGCAGCCCGCGGCCTGGTAGCCGGCGGGGGCGGCGGGGGCGCCGGCCGAGGCGAAGGCGCAGGAGCCGGCGGGCGCCGACGGCGCGGGGCCCAGTTCAGGGCTGAGCGGCCGCTCGGGCACCAGGCCGAAGACGCGGCACGGCCCCGGCGACGCCGCGGGGTAGTAGACCGCGGGCGGCGCGGCGAGCGGCGGCGGGGCATAGCCCGCGTAGACGGCGCCCGGGTACGGCGGGCGGGCGGCGGGCACGGCGCCCGGGAAGATGGCGGCGGCGGCGGCGGCGGCGGCGGCCGCGGCGGCGGCGGCGGCCGCGTCGTGCATGTAGGCCGGGTAGGTGGAGAGGTCCGAGCGCTTGAAGCGCTTGCGGCGGCGCAGGAAGCTGCCGCTCTCGAACATGTCCTCGGCGTTGGGGTCGAGCGCCCAGTAGTTGCCCTTGCCCGGGCGGCCGGCCTCGCGCGGGATCTTGAGGAAGCAGTCGTTGAGCGTCAGGTTGTGGCGGATGCTGTTCTGCCACTTCTTGGGGTTGTCGCGGTAGAAGGGGAAGCGCTCGGTGATGAACTTGTAGATGCCGCCCAGCGTGAGGCGGCGCTCCGGCGCGTGCGCGATGGCCATGGCGATGAGCGCGATGTAGCTGTAGGGCGGCTTCCCGCGCTGCAGGGGGCGCTTGCGCCGACGCCCGCCCGCGCCGCGCCCCGCGGCCTCCGCCGGGACCCCGCTGGCGGGCTCGCCGCGCTCCTCCTTCACGGCCGCCAGCGCCTCGGTCTGCGGCGGCGGCGGCCGGCTCTCGGCCGTCATGGCGCGGCCGTCCCGCGCGTCCCGGGGCGTCCCCGCCGCCCGCGGCTGTCGAGGGGCGGGGGCGGGTCTGCGCGCCGGTCCCCGCGCCGGTCCCCGCGCCGGTCCCTCCGCGGGGAGCTCCTCGCAGCGCGGCGCCCTCGGCCTCCGGAGAGGCGCGGGAGTGTCCCGCCCACCGACGGCTCCGCTCGCGTTCCGGAGCGCGGGGCCGGGCGCCGGCAGCAGCGGGGGGCCGGGCCCCTGTGCGCGCAGCGGCCGGACGGTGCGGGGGCGCCTGCAGCCGGCCTGTGCTTCCCGCCGACCGAGGCCGACCGTCGAGGTCGCGCGCGCAGAGGAGGTGCGGGCGCGGGGGCCCGAGGCCGGGGCCCTCAGGGCAGGAGGCGCAGCCCGCGGGGGCTGCCTAGGCTGCGGCGCTGCGGCCCCGCGGCCCGGCCTGCGGAGCGCGAGGCGGCGAGGGGCACGAGCGGGGCGCGCCGGGCGGGCAGGCCGGCCACTGTTCTCTCCCTCCGCGTTGGCCTCCGGCCGCCGAAACCGCGGGCGAGGCGCTCCCCTGCACACACCCGGACCGGCTCCTCCCTCCGCCGGCTTCTCCTCCTTAAAGGCGCCAGGAAGCGTGGGGCGGCGCCCGGCCCCCCCCCGCCCCCCGACCGCCCGCCCCCTGGGCCCGGCGCACCTCTGCAGGTGGGAGCCGCGGTGCAGGCGAGGCGGGAGCCCCGCAACGTCGGGGCGGGGAGGGCTCTGAGAGCTCGCCGGGCTGGCGTCCCCTGCGCGCCGACGGGGACACTGAGGCCGGGACAGGGCAGGGACTGTCCCGGGAGACGCAGCGCTTCCGGACTTCACCAGCCTCTGCCGAGGGCTGGGACCCGCAGGTGAAAAGGACGGGCTCGCTTCGCTTCTTCTTCTTCTTCTTTTTTTTTTTTTTTTTGGTCGGGGGAGGGTGAGACAGGAGAGAGCGAGGGGGCGCCTGGTTCTTGTGGCGTAGACGACGGGGAAGGGGAGAGCACCGTGCAGCTGGCTGGCTGCTACTTCAAGGATGATCTTCAAACCCCAGCCAAAGCTGCCTCGCGCCTTGCCCATGCAGCCCCTCATCTTGCGGAGGATGCCTAGGCCCGGTAGGGGAGGTGGAGGTGGCTTGCCCTGGCCTCGCCGCGACTCTGCCGCTCAACGGGGCTCACACCTGCGCCTCTGTTAGGACTGCGCTTCGCCCGCTCCGGGCGGGAGGCGGCCACCTTCTCTCTATGGTTCCCAGGTTCCTCGACTGCGCGGAGGGTTTGCGCCTTCCGCACCCGATATTTAGGGAAAACTACCCCCCCCGCCCCCGTCCCCTGTCTTTGGGTGACCCAGGATCCCTCTACGTGGCCGAAGGCAGCGTGCAGCTTAAAGAGGATGAAGGCTAGGCTTCTGTCCTCGGGTGGCGACCACCTCCTACAGTTCGCCCAGGCCACAGAGGGCTCCAAGTGGCTCCCGGAGCCCCCAGGGGGGCAGCCGAGCAGTCTCTTCCCGCAGAGGTTGCGGCCCAGGTGTGGGTGCCCCAGGTGGCCGGGCAGAGGGGACCCTCTTGCTGAGTTCGTTTCCGGCCATCCCGCAGGGCGGGACCCCTGGCCTCACCCGAGGCTCCCTGCGGCGGCCGCCCCCGCTAGCCTGGGTTCCCTTTGTGGTCTTGCGCGGGGAGACCTTGGGCCGGTCCTTTTCTTCGAGGCACGGCCTCAATTTTCTCCTCTGTGAATTGGGGGCAGGAGGGCGGACCTCGGAGGCCTTTTCTGTCCTTAGGAATCCGGGCCTTGGTCTCGACTCCAGGGGTTCCAGCCGCGGGGCAGCTTCCCGCCGGCTGCGGGTGTAGGGGGAGGCGGAGCGAGTCTCCAGGGCGCGGGCGGCAGGGCCTTCGGGGGGGTTTAGTTGCGTCCTTCGTGGCGGCGGGCTCGCTGCAGGTTCAGCCCGGCCGAGCACTGGGGCAGCTGCCTGCGGAGGAAAGAGGCAGAGATCCTCGCTCCGCCGACCCGAGTGTGGAAGCAGTTGCACGGTTTGCATGAAGACTTCCCTCGGCGGATGGGTGCTCCAACGATTGGAGAGGGGCTTTTTCACTCGTTCAGCAAAACTCCGTTTTCGCCTTCCAAAGTAAAGACAATGCGGAAATCCGGATTTCACCCTGTTACATTTTTGCAACAGTAAAAAAGAATGTTAAAAATATTTTTTTGTTGTTGTTTTAGCCAGATTACATCATAGCAATCTTTCAGCACTGGATTTTGTGGTTCTCTGTATTTCCAAAGTTCTAAGATTCAGATTTTCAAATTTTTTATTTTGGATCACTATCCTAACGTGTTTCCACAAATCAAATAATCTGTAATTCTGAGAGTCTATGACCAGAAGTCTAAATTCTTTGAGTGTGATTATATTCCTATAAGCTTCTGGTCAAAATGTAAAAGCGAATTCCTCCTATTTTGAGATGCTGGGACTAAGATTTTATTCCTGAAAATATGATGCCACTACTGGGAACTGCAGCTTCTTTAGTTTTTAGATATTTTCATAGCTCTGAGGTATATATTACCTAATTTGAATTTCTATCTAGGAATGTCTGATTAGAAGATTTGGGTCCCATAAATCCACACCTCTCTTCTTCCTTAATTCCAGAATGTTAGTGCTGGATCCAAATTACAAAATAATGTCAGTACTGAATCCACTATTCTGTAACTCAAAGACGTTAATTTTGATAATTCTTATAATATTCTTGATTGTATGCTTTAATGATAGGTCCCATGACGTTATGATTCTTTACTCTTAAAAGCTCCAGTGACTATGGTTAGAAGCCTCACGTCTCAGGATTTCTTGTTCCTCAATATTTTGTGTCTGTGAACCCATTATTCTAGAATTCTGATTCCTTTTTCTAAGACTTTGCTGCTACAGAGCTACTCCTGTACATCAAAGCAAGTGTTAGTATCCTGAGGTCAAGATTTTCATGAACAAAGGATCCTAAAGATCCTATTCTGTAGATGTTTTATTCTAATAATACATTTTAAAATTCCGTACTTTGAAGATTCTATAAATCCGTGATGCAAAATTTGAATTAAATGATATTATGAATGAAGTGGGACAGTTTACCGTTTGGATCAAAACTATGCAAACAGATTCCCCTCCATGCAAGGGCATTTCTTTGCTTGTCTCTGGTCAAGTCCTCCCTCTTCTCTTGTGCAGTGTCTGTTAACATTTGTAGGGGTAGCACATGCCACTGAGAACCATTTGAAAGCCACAGAGTGGGTTCCAGCCCGTTGGAGATTATTTCCTAGTTTAGCAGGGGTGCATTGGTGTTGATGTGGGTGGGTGCTGGGTGATTTCCATCTCCTCTGCACCTGCTTTCAGCCCTGAGCCTATGCTCAGCATACACCTTTGGAAAAACCTCAAAGGCTATTTTATTTTCAATTTTTAGGGGCAGTGGAGGAATGCTGGTCATCTGCAGAAGACCTTGCAACTCTTCTCCCTACAACTACTTTCCTTAGCTTTGAAGTGCCCTCAGTTTTCAAGCGCCCTTAGAGAGTCCGTAAATATAAAGGAGGGGATCCATGAAGTTACGGGAAATTCCTTCATATCCCTTGACGCAGATGCCCCTCATGCAGATGCAAAGGTAACTAGCTCCTCTCCCTAAAGGACATCTTGGAAATATAAGTTGGAAGGAAACTAGGCCCAGATTGTCAAAGGGATGCTTGAAGTCTTTCAGAGGAGGCTGCATGCTGAAAGGGAAACTGGGGTCTAGGGCGCCTTACCTCCAGCACCCACAGCTTCTCCATCTTTCCCTGGGCTCTCAGAGCCCAGTCATATTTCCTGGCCTAGGTTACTGTCCTTATCAAGTGACAATGGAAACTTCAGGCCGCGATGCTTGCAGATCAGATCCAAGAATCTTGGGACAGCGAGGACACAATGACCTCTGTTTGGTTTACTCTGGGACAATCAGTCAGGGTCAGCAGGCTCTCCGGCGTCTTCAGAGAGCATCAGACATGACACTGCCACAAAAGGGGTCCCATGTCACAGGAGCCCAGCCGAGGATAGGTGCAGGACAGCTGCAGGGGTGTGCAGTGAGAGCTCCCATTTATAGCTAGCTCATTATTGGCCCAGTGGCATTGAGCCCTCTGCTCCCCTTTTAAACCTGTTTCCCCATCTGTGAAGTGGAGGCTCCCCTACCTGTCGCCCCTCTTCCAGAGAGTCCAGAGGATGGAGTAGGACACATCTCTGACCCGTGATTGTTTTCTCCGCTTTTCAATTGTTTTCAGGGCGAAACTTGGATGTAGGGGGAAAAAGAGAGAGAGAGAGAGAGAGAGAGGAGAGAGAGAGAGAGAGAGAGAGAGAGAGAGAGAGAGAGAGAGAGCGCTGCTGGGGGAAAGTCAAGTCGTTCTCACTCTTGGGTGGAGATAAGACGCACTCCCGGAAGAAGTAGCTGTTAATTAAAGTAAATTGTTTTCTGCAGCTTAGCCCAGGGATTTTAGACTCCGAGGCCCTTCGGGTGTGGCCTCTTTTCCGCGAGTGGGCGGCTGGGGGACCCCCGGAGCTCGGTGCCGGCCGCGCGGCTTTAAGCACTTTAGCCACCGGTTCGCTTGAACCCGCGAACGCAGGATTACTGCCACTCGGAGACGGATTGGGGGAACTGGGCCCAGAGGGGTGCCGCGTGCGTCCTGCCGCCGGCTGGGCTAGCCCGCCCCCAGCCTCCCCGCTCGCCCCGGGAAGCGCCTCCGCTCCCAGCCGCTGCCCCGGAATCTTCCCCCAGCCCTGCCCGCGAGTCCCCGGGGCGCGGAGCTCCGCAGCGGCCGCGGCGCAGCGAGAAGGGCCGGGCGGCTCCGCGGACTTGCCGCCCCGCGCCCCGCGGGTCTGGGACAGAGCCGCGCCCCCGCCCTGGCCCCCGCCCCAGGTCAGCTCCTGCACGTCGGCTCACGGCCAGCGGGGCCGGGCTGGCGAGAGCTTGGCGGTGGCCTCTCCTGCGAGAGCCGAATCCTGGAATCCCCGTTCGGAGGCGGCGACAAGGGCAAGACCCCGGGTCTTCCCAGGGTGGCGGGTGGGCGCACGACGCTTAGATTCCGGCACACCGGGGATCG